AGAATTATGTATATAAATATATACATACACGTATATTTATATATTTATATAAAGTACCATATATACATGTATGTATAACATTTTTTAACAACATGATTATGTTTTAAGTATATCACAATTTTGAGATGTACGGGAATATTATAAACATTCCTAAACACAGGTACTGTTGCTGCATTAAGAAATAGTCATAACGCATTCACGCTAAGTGATTTTATTTTTTCTTTTTGTCTGTAGCTGTACCTACACAATATCTTCTCTGCTCATATTAATCGCCACTTTTTGGCTTTTCCTGTTACGGCTCGTTCATGTTTATCGAGTTTTCATATCGATCGATATATATGTATATACACATATAAATATAAAAAAGTATATATATTAATATATTAAATCACTTCCTATTCAGAATGAAAAATTTCGAGTTTCATTGAATTTTCGATTGTAAAAAATTTATTTGAAAATGATAAAATGACATTTATTTATAGCTAAGTCAATGAATGAGCATAAAGCTTTAAGATCGCCTTTTTTACTGCAAACCCTTTAATTCGTTTTAAAGATACTTTGTCGGTATCTTAATTGTCATTAAATTAATTTAAAATTTCTCTTCAAACTTAGCCTTATTTATTCCAAAGTGATCTTAAAATTGCCATCTAAAGCTTTCTTGTATTTTGTATTTTGCATTTTTTACAACGTAGTTATTGAAACACAGAGAAATGATTCGATTGAAAATTTGCGAATGCACGAAGTATCGTTTCTTTATAAGATTGACCACACATGCATAGTGAAACTTCAGACTTATATATCGAACGTAAAATCGATTGTCGTTGGAATATATGATTTTATAGAGGTAATATATACCTATATTCGTATCGAGACACGATTCAAAGGCCATTCTTGGGCTTGTTTTTCGTTTTGTATATCAACGATCTCGTTCGAACGAGAAAACGAAGGAAAGAGAAATTCTTGCACGTACACACATCACACCACACACCACACCACACACACACGCATGCACGCACTCAGCACTCGCGCGTGCGACCGGTCATCGGATAAGGATTTCACGCGTTTAATAGACACGCACTCACACACTCAAAGACATTAAGAGAGAAAGAGACTCATATATAGGTCGATTATTAAAGAAAAAAAATACGATTATCATCAGTGAAACTACACGCCGAATACACCCTGTCGATGAACGGTTGACTTTGCGGAACTACGTATTTGTTGTGTAAAGTGAATGTAATCCGATTGGTTAAACGGAAGCTTTTTCACCAATAAAAAGAGATCAGTTAAACATTTACGAAGTGTCCTTCTTCAAGCGTTTCATGTTTTTTAAAACTATAACAAAAGAAAAAAAAGCAAGAAGGCCCGAAAAAAGAACACGGGAAACATCGAGGAGCTTCTTGTTTCTCGAATCTATCCATTGTTGTTTAATATATAATTTTAGAGTAACTCATAGCGCGATTGTACATTCGATCTAATTAATAGTGTTTGTTATGTACTAATTAGCTGAGCTTAGGAGTAAGTACCGTTTTCTTTGGAAAATTTCATTTTCGTAGAATGTACTGCAAATATAATAAGGTAATATTGCAGACTTTTCGATTATTCGTTCGGAAATTCTGTGTAAAGTGATGTTAATTGTGACTGCTTGTTTCTGGGTGCAAGTATTTGGATAAGTAAAATTTATTACGATTACGCGGTATTTATACTTCCAGTTTTTGAATCTGTTCTGCTCCCTTTCGATATCATTTTTATTTCCATTTATGTTTTCCTTCGTACCTAATGAATCTTAAAAGTTTATAATTATCTTATAATATCATTGAAAATGATTTGCTTAAAAATCAGACACTTTTTACGGAAATATTCAATTGTATTAGTATATTGAAAGATACTACGAAATTAGAGAAAGAAAGAAATACTGTGTTAATATGGACAACTAGACAAACATAACGTTTATTGTTGCACCTTACGATTATTTTTTACAAAAGGTAAATTTGTATAATTTTTTTTATACAATTAGAACACGATAGTTTTCATTAAATTGATTGATTTAGATTCTATATACAAGATTTTATGTATAAATTAATAACCAGGGTTTACGTTGAACCAAGGAAAATTAACTAACAAAGATGGATTTTTCTTATTACATAGATAGCATGAATTCTATTATTAGAAAATTACTATAAAGTGTATTTGTCCTCCATTCGTATTTACACTATAAATTTTTACGTATATATATACACGTATACGTAGGTACTACACGTACATACTATAATGCTTTTTATCGGACAGAACTTGCATATAGTAAAGTGTTCGTCATATATTTCGTGAAGTGCAAGATGTATCAAAGAATTTCCGATTACACTTTAACAGTAGCGAGCCTCTTTTAATGAGATATTTAGATGATTTGTTTACTAATGATTGCCGACGATAATGATAATAATTAACTCTGTAAAAGGGACGTTAGGTCCCTCGCTTCGGATAAATAAATTTACAATATTGAATTTATTGTATTATTGTTATATTGCAATAAATATATGTATACAAGACGGTTTACAAAATTGCAAAGAAAATGTTATTTATAACTAGTTCGTTTTTTTAAGCGGTTATGTAATGAACAAAACATTTATTTACACGAATACTACGTAATATTATGACAAGTAAATTCGATTTTAATTCGATGTTATATTTTTCGATATTTTCAAAAGTTTGCAGAACTTCTAAATAATTTTCGCAGATGGAATAGCTTCATTAAGTGTTGCAGCTAACTTAATCATGATAAAAATGTGAACATGCATGATACTATAACTTTTGTTCTCTTTCTTGAAAACAGTTTATTTTTTCAAGTTTATTTGTAATGATAAGCATTCACTAAAAACAAGTATATGTGTATATAATTTAATTATAACAGTTTATTTTTACATTTAGAGTTACTTTCATTAAAATAATTTAAAACTTATTATTTAAAGATGTTCATGGATTATGAATAATTAGAAAACGTTATTTGAAGAAAGTGTTTTTGTAAAAACCTATACTTCCATTGCAAATCTTATTAATTCATTGCTTCTTCACAAGCATGTCATTAAGGATGCTGAAACTTTATGTAATTTCTGTATTGTAGGTACAAACTTTCTTATGATAATCTTTCATAAATGCAGTGATATAACTTCTGTTCATCATAATAACATAATAAAACCTTGTTCATTAAAAATTTATGAAAATAAGCATAACAAAATTGCTTTTTTGGATCTTTAAAAATTTTAAATGTAACTATATGTATATATAAATGATTATGGATATGAATATCAAGATGTGTATTAACAAGGTTTTCTTAATTATTAATTATTCCTAATAATATACTAATTTGGAAAGTGATTATATGTTACTGTTATGAAAGGAAATTTTATGTATTTTGTTAAATTTACGCATAAAAAATTAAGATAACAACAGACTTCTATGTAAGTCAGGAAACACCCTTTACTATATAACTTGATACATTTGTTAATTTCTTTTAAAAACATGGTACAATCAGTTATTATAAATCATTAAAAATGTGATTTAAAAGCTATCTTCTATTTATGCTTTAAACCATTGATACATCTCTCGATCTTTGTTACAAAATATTGTAAATTACATCATTGAATGATGATTATTATTCTATTTTTACATTTAATCTTGCCTTTTTAAATCGGCATTTATGTATATTGTAGTACGTAATATATGCTAGAAACATTTTCACGTTTCATTGTTTCGTAGATCAGAAATGTTTATTAACAAAAGTAGAAAAAAGTTGAGATTATACTAGGCAAAATATAAAAGTATATTTCAATTGGAGAAGTACAGGTTTCTAAATTAAGCAATTTTCTACTTTTTATGCATTTCACAAGATTTCATTATAATAAATTAATTACATCTCTAGTTTTTTAACATTTCAATCATTCAGAAAAAGAATAGTATCAAGCGATTCTTATGCAACTAAAACTTCTCCACTGTCTTAAATAAGAACTTTTTCTAAAGTAATTTAATAATTATCAAATAAATGTTTTTATTTCTTCGTGAAATTACTATTACTTTGAATTATATACGTAGATATTTTAAATGTCTATTTATAATATATTACAATATATCTGCTAATTCGAATCGCTCTTAAAATTCAGGCTATCGTTCAATTTAAATTTTACTAATTTTTATGACTAAATTACATTCGAGCCGAATTTTAAGAGTAAATAAAATTATAATACAGCTAACCGTTTCAGTATCCTGTTCATTGTGCCACCATCAAAAAACACCTTTCACAAGATTTGTCTTCGTCCTTCACATGAGATCAGAACTTACGAAAATTGTAGTTTGTTTAGTGAAATTACTACAAAATGATTAAAAAATGCAGCATTTTCTTTATATTACACTCGACAAAATAATAGCAATTTTTTACAAACTTTATTTCTTTTCAATCTTTTTTTTGTAAGACATATGTGCAATTGTATTTTTTTCATTTACCAATGATTATGACAATAAATAGAAAGTATAAGAAAAAAATGCACATCATAAGAAAGATTTACACAATTCAATTAAGGGACATCACATGAATTTCAATAATTTAAACCTTCCTTCTTCATGTGGAGAGGTATAGACGATGATAGTCATTAGCTCCAAAAGCGCAATTACATTTTGGACATTTCCGTTGCCTAGTCTCATACCGTGTACGTAAGCAATCCCAACAGAATACGTGAAAACATTTGGTTAGAACCGCATCTTTGCGCTTAACTTTACAAGAAGGACAAGTAAGAGTTTCCTTATACTCTCGAAGTTCCTCGGCCATTACTTCGTCTAAAGTTTCAGCCAGTTCTATCTTTTTCATTCTTTCAACTTTACGTCTCAATTGAGCTATCTCCTCCTGTAATGTGTGATGATGATGATAATAATGATAATAATAATAATAATATAAACTAGTTTTCATGTTATAGAATTATCTATATAAAATGAAAGAAATTATGATGTTAAACAAATATTACCTGTAATCTTTTTGTTTTATATGCTTCTGCTTCCAATGAACTAGTTTTCTCAGCTACAACTTGTTGTGCTTCTTTCATCTGGGAATGGTACTTTTCTAAACAAAAGATTATTAGAAATATAGAAAATATATCCATCAAAATAATTGATAGTATTTTTAAATAAGTCTCTTACCAAGATGAAGCTTTAAATCAGCTGCAGACTGAGCGCTTTCGATAGCTTTCCGTTTATGCATTTCCATCGCTTGCTGTCTCAAAGCTAATTCTTTTTCAACAGTAGCAAGTGAATTTTGTAGAAGACGTTCTTTCTCTTCTAATTTACGAACGACTACGTTAGCAGCCTCGACTTGCGTTGTTAATGTAGAAACCTGTTCTTTTAAAACATCCTTTTCTTCTCTAGCCAATTTATGCAACTGATTGCTTTTGATCCTTTCTGTCATAAGTTTAAAATTCGCGTCATCTTTTTCGCGTAGTTGTTGAATCAATCTGGAATTCTGTTCTTGCATGTCTTCGAAAGCTTGTCCGGTTACTTCCATTTCGTTTAAAAGAGCTTCCTCTTCCTGAAACCACACACAATTCTGTTTAGCATTACCGATAGTTCATTGTTTTAAAAAAATTCACATTTTCAAGAATTTATCAAATATATAAAGTTACCTGTTTCTGTGAAGCAACTTGACGTTGAAGCGTGTAAGCTTGTTCCTCTAATTTTTTAATTTTTATTTGTGCATCTTCATCTGCCAACTTTTTACGTTCCTCTCGCTTACTTTCCTGAACAAATAGTTTTATAGTCAATATCTTGTATCTACTTAAAAAAAAAAAATAAAATATTGTAAATTGATGTCTTCTTATAAATAAATACTTGAATCTTTTTTATCTGTTGACGTAATTCTTCCAACTCTGCTCTCGTTTTACGTTCAGCTGCCATTAGTTGTACTTTATCTCTTTGTTCTTTTCCAACACCTTTATACATGTCTAACAACAGTTTCATTTCTTTCATTTCGTTTACAGCCTTTCTGTAATTAATGTGACCAAATTATAATAACGAATAAGAGCAATTATATTAATAAATCTTAAATAATATACAACATACTTAAGTTGTGCTTTCAGATCTCTAACAAGTTCTGACTCCGCTACTTTCGTATCTTTAGCACGATGAGCAGGATCACGGTGTTCGGTTTTAACAGTTTCCTTCTTTATGTCCTTTTCACGCTTAATATCCTTCTCTTTTTTTAGAGTTGGAGATGTTAAAGTTAAAGAATCTGGTGTTCCTTTATTTCCTTCTCCTTCTCCAACTTCAATGGTTTCTACTTCTTCCTCTCCAGATTCCCTTTTTATTGAAACTCCACTTTCTTCTTTAATCTGCATTAATACAAAAATATGTATATCGTGTAAAATATTATGTTTAAAATGCTCTTTAGAAGTTTATTATGTTGTACCTGTGTTGAACCTGGAAGAGAATTCGATGCATCTTCTTCTTTTCCACTACCATCTGAATTATTACCTTCTTTATTCTCCTGAGACGTTTGTTGACCTAATTTTGCTGTCAATTCTTCGATTTCCTTCTTTAGCTATAATAAAGCAAGCATATCAACTGTAAACACTTTTATCTTGTTATTTAATTTTTTTTCAGAAAATTTAATATACATACCCTTGGTATTTCGGATGAAGCTTCTTTGTATTTTCGTTTGTAACGATGAACTTCGCCTTTAAGCTGTTGATTATGATTCTGCAAAGACGTAATCAGATGTCTCATTTCTCTATTGATTGGTCCTGTTTGTTCATTGGCCGCTAAGTTTTGTTCAAATTCAATTCTTAACATTTCATATTCCTTTCGTAACTGAGCTAAAACGTCTTCCAGTTGTATACATTCTCCGCGTAGTTTTTTTTGTGCCATCAACTCTTCACTCTGGAAAGACATTAAAGAGTTAATACGATTTTCATAAAACTTTTAAAAATGATATAACATTACACTTGCCTCCATCATTTCGATATGACGTAAATGAGCATTTTTGCTGGATTGTAATTGCTGACGGGCGTCATCTAATTGGGTTTTCAATTGCATCGATTCATTGTATAATACAGAAAATTGCGATTGCAAACATTTGTACTCTGTTGTTTCAACAATTACCGATTCTGGAAGTTGTCGTATCTGGAAATGTAAAATATTTTTCAAAATAAAATTGAAAATAATATTCAATATAATATCAAAATTCCCTTTCACTTGTTTTTTAATATACTTTTTATTCGAATGTAAAGAAGTAATACACAAGAAACAAGCAAAAGCAAGTATAACAGGAGTATTTATTGCATAAGACATTAATTTACATTCTACACAGGGCACCATAAGAGTGTGTACAAAAACCAAAGAACTCACATCCATTTTCAATTTTTCTACTTCTTTCAATGCATCGCGATGTTGCTGATGCAGTTTATCTAATTCTTGCAGTCTGTTATTAGCTAGTTCCCTGGTCTCTTCTAATTCTCTTTGTAAATCTTCAAGCTGAACAAAATAAAACACGATTTAATACATCGATATTTATTAGAAATATCGTTATTATCATATTGCAAAGTATGTTATACCTTCGTTTGCGACACACTCGATGCAACTAAGGTATTTGGTTTATTACTTCCTTTCTCATCTGTACCATGTATTTGTTGAAAAGCTTTTAATTTTTCAATTGCTTCTCCAAGATGATGCTCTAATTTATCATTACGCGCTCGCACTTTATTCAGTTCATACTGAAGATCATCTACTTGATTACGAAGTTCTGCAGCAAGAGTATCCTTTCCTGTTATAGTATCTTGTAATTCTGACATCTAGGAAAATATTGGGCAAATTTACTCATATAAATTTGAAAATATAGTTTGTAAAAGAAACACAATTAATTAATTAACTTACTTTCAATGAAATGGTGTGATATTTTTCATGGAGTTGTATATTTATTGCTTGAAGATTCCTATTTTCCATTTGTATTTCACTATTTGCTCTGCGCACAACATCATCAATATTCGGTACTTCCTCTGAAATACAGTAACATTGTAAATTTTTACCTTCACATATGATATTCTTCCAATTCATTACATTAAAATACCTCCATCAAATTCTCCTTTAAGTGCAAGGGTAATTTTTTCATTTCTTTGAGAAAGACGGTCAAATGCTTGTACAACTTTGGAAACTGCACGTTTGGACACTTGAACACGATTTGCTAATTTGTCATCTAATTCCTCCTTATCCCATGTAGAAAGTTGCATGAGAAATGATGTTGTAGCTTCACTTTCATCTATAATTACATGTAGAAGTACAATATAAATTATAAATAGCTAATCATTTAATAAAATACACATCATTATTGCTTCTTACTTTTATTTTCTGATTCATCAGCTGTTTCAGCATCAAATCTCTGAAGTAATACACGTATATCTTCATTTAACTGATTCCAATAACGATTAACAACATTCAGTACTGCATCATCTTGCATCTGTCGTTTTTCCAATTGTTCAATTCGTTGCCTTAATTCAGTCTCTACTCTATGACGTTGTTCTAATCTCTAGAAATTCAAAATAACATAGTGTAGAAATGGATAATTAAATTTTAGATTTGAAAGAAAGAAGGATATAAAAAAAATTAATAAAAAAATACAATTTTCCCTTATAAGAAGCAAATAATTAAAATTATAAAAAAAAAGGGTCCAACATTATATCATACTACTTTTATAACCAAAACATATAATGTCACATAACACATTACTTCTGTTATTCATCTATCTGTCATAATACAATATATATAAACAATGAGACTAAGCTAGATATGGAACAATAACTTCAGATGCTTACATAATAAATCATTAATTATTAATATTATTAATGAAATTTCCTGAGAAC